CAAACCGGACGATCCTACTGACATGCAACGAGCCTATTAAGTATTAACCTATAGTACTGTAACTTATAAGATTCTAAGAGAGTCTAGTAAATAAGGCTAGATCTATAACTAATCCTAAGGAATACTGATAGCTCTATCAGATGGGGTCAGCCAGGCAGGACCGTTGAGAGCCAGGATCATTTTGGCATATAGCTTTTCTGAAATCCAATAACCAACCAAACGTGACCATTCTAGACACCTCTCCCGTAAGTAGATTAATCAACATTTTGAATTGCAATTACTGATTGATCTTATTTATAGGTCCATAACAACGACGCATTACTACAAATATAAGTTACACTGAAAATGGGAGAGTGTAGCTTAACTTATCGAGATTAAAGTGAAAACCGGGAGATTAAGCGGACCGTACTGCGAGACCGAAAGTTCTACTTTCCGAACACCTCGAACCCTCAAAACTTTACTAAACACTCTCAAGAAAAGCCCAAAAGTCAAACTCAATGAAGGCTAGAGGGAAATTGGATGAATGGGTGAGTAAATGAAGTGAAAATGAGGGATACATATACTGCAGCAGGAAGCGTGCCGCGCACATCCTGGAGGCGCGCCACACACCAGGGTTGTGCTGGCTCTTGCGCTTGCTCTTGCGCTTGCTAGCCACATGTCGCTCACCGGTTTGCCCACCTCATCGTTCTAGAAGGTGAACCGTGTCACACTCTCATGGTGCCACGTGTCACGCCCGTATTGTGTCACATAATCGTGCCTCTTGGTGGAAAGGAAGAGTCGGCTTGCCACATGGCGCCCTCTGGTGCCGCCATGTCATTACCGCGCGTCGCGCATTGCTCGCACCCAATTTTCTAGATTTTTAAAATTGCATAACTTCTTCATACAAGCTCCGTTTTCGACGTTCTTTATATTGACGGAAAGCTCTTGACAAGATCTACAAATTTCCTGTAGACTTCAATAGCTAATTCTCAATCTATAAAAAAATTATATTTTTGATAGGCTTAGCCTGTTAGAGATCACTGCAGAAAGCAAAACTCCTATATACGGACTCCGTTCTCGATGTTCTTTACATCGACAGACTCCTTTGAACGAGATGTTCGATTATCGTTTAGATTATTGTGCCTAATAATCTACCTTTCTAAAAGTTGATATATGTGTGCACACTACTGCGCTGAAACTTAGAAAATCATAACTTCCTCTCTTGAAGTCAGATTTGGACGTTCTGTATACGCACAAATTCGCTTTAACGAGAACTACGACTTTTGTTTATATTACTAAGGATAACGAGTTATATATCTAAAATTTGAATTTCTGTTAGTCGTGAATATTTATAAAAACGATAAAATCGGGTGTTACAACACTCCCCCACTTATAAGGATTTTGTCCCCAAAATCTAACTAAATAACTTTGGGTAGTTGCTCGTTATCTCTTCTCTGGCTCTGCTCCCATGACCATTCTAATCCTTTTCGGTGTTGCCACTGAACCTTTACTAAGTTGATTACCATATTACGCAAGGTCTTTGTTTTCTTATCCAAGATCGTCACCGGCTTCTCCACATAGTTCAGACGCTCGTCTACGCAAATGTCTTCCGATGATACAATTACGGATTCACCCGTAATGCACTTTCTTAATTAGGAGATGTAGAAGGTGTTATGGATCTGAATTAACTCTTCTGGTAGATCCAAACGATAGATAACCTTGCCCACTCGAGCAATGACTCGAAAGGGTCCAATATACCTAGGGCCTAGCTTGCCCCTCTTCCGGAACCTAATAACACCTTTCTAAGGTGAAACCTTAAGTAATACTAGGTCTCCTACTAGGAACTCAAGATTCAATCTTCGTCGATCTGCATAACTCTTCTGCCAACTCTGGGCAGTCTTCAACCTTTCGCGTACTTGTTGGATGAGTTTGGTGGGTTTGATCACAACATCAGTGCTCCCCATAACTCGATGGCCGATTTTCCCCCAACATATGGGCGTTCGACACTTCCTTCCGTAAATCAATTCAGAGGGAGGTCTACCAATACTGGAATGGTAGCTGTTGTTGTACAAAAAATTTGTGGAAAAAGTATGACATAGTGAAAAGTCATTAGAGTACAAAATCCTAAAATCACAAAATGAGGAAAAACATGGGCGGATGCGGTGCGATCAGGCTGGGCCCTTCCCTTTCGAGTTGGAAGTACCTGAAACATAAACTGAAAACCATAAGCACAAATCTTAGTGAGCTTCCTCAAAATACCCCATACCATACATACATAACAGACAATACATAACTGGGTCTATTTCACCCCTTCAGTCTCCTTCAACCGATATTGGGTATATTTCACCTCCTTCGGTATCTTTCAACTGGTAAATGATCTATTTCACCCCCTTCGGTCTCTTTCAATCGGTACTAGGTATATTTCACCCCCTTCGATCTCTTTCAACTTGTATCGAGTCTATTTCACCCTATACAACTAGCATACATTCATATCAGCAAGAGTCATAAAGACAACAAGCACACACAGACATAACAGTAAGTGTCACAAAGACAAAGATCATCCTAAAAACATAATCCAATGGGCCGGCATTGGTGCCTTCGACCCACGAGTACAGTGAAGGAACTCACCTCAGTCTGAAGATAAAAAAAAATCACACTCGGGTTGCTGAATCGAAAATCCCCACACCAAATCACAAATAATATAACCCTAATTAGAAATTAGGTCATTAACACAAACTAGGAGTCCAAATCCTTAATCCCGACTCCTAAGGGTAAAAGACTGTTTTACCCTTCTCTTATTGGGCCTAACATATAGAGGTCCAAACCCAAACCAGCCCAAAGTCCAAAAGATACTCAAGGGCTTATATGGGCCCAATCCATAAAGGCCCAAATCAGAAGGACTCATGGCCACTAAGGGCCCAAAACCCTAAAGCCAAAGGTAGCCCAAAAACAAAAAGCCAAAATGGGTGTTCTGAGAGAGTACGGCTAATGTACTTTTTCCTACGCCCCGCATACTACAGATTCAAAAGGAGAAGCTTACGGGGCCAAGACGCAGTACATGCAACGTACTTAGACTTACACCCGACGTACACATCAATGACCTAATCTTTCTATTAAGGTCTTAATGCTTTAAGACCCAACATCCAACTTCAGATCTAAGTCCAATAAAACGTATTAAGCCATAAAGCTGCAATCTATATGCTTTTTCATGGCTTAATAAGTTCCAAAACCCAACCTAAACACTTTATCCCCACATTGAATGAACACCAACCTTTGCATGGTTCATCATAACCCACCAAGATGACATTTTTATGCACTAACAACATCAGAAATGCTAGAATCTAACATTCTAAGCTCCTTGAGTAGCTCATACTCACAAGGATGACTCAAGGGACCATAATATGTTTCAAAACAAGCCCTAGACCAGATCTAACACATAGAGTCATCAAGATAGAAGCTTTATACCTCCAATAAAATAAGCTGGAAAAGAGTGAATAACCTCTGGATCTACATGCTTCCACTTGATTAATACTCCTCTACAAGGCTTATCCTTCAAAGTGCAACACACACACCAAAACACGCACAAGGGTTAATTTCTACAAGGCTTCTTCTTCAAAGTGCAACACACCCGACGTACCTTATGTATGCCCAACATACTAGGGTCTTAAGTCGAAATACAAGAAAATAAATGGCTAAGAATTTACCTTGACATAACAGGTGTTACACCCATGAATGGTGTCAACCAATCACAATCTGCCATGCAACATCTTCTAATACATTTTTTCATGTCATACAACCCATGAGCATCAACAACACACATGATGGACCACCTTGACCATAGTGGAGCAACATGATGCAGAGGTGGAGCATCATGATCACTAATGGCCAAACATACATCACGGTGGCACAACATGGTGTATTTATTGAGCAATCATCTTCTAAGCATACATGGATCAATATGGAACAACAAAGGAATCAAGATAGTGCATCATGTACCAAGATGGTCCATGATGGCGCAACATCTCCTCATAACGCAACTTCCCTTCTTGATGGAGCAACATCACCTCATGGGTCAACATCTCCTTGGCTCAACATTACCTTGGCGCAACTTCAGACATGATGGTGCATCATGCTATCATTTGGCACAACGTCCCCAAGGATGGCGCAACTTCCTTCTACATGGCACAACATGATGTTCCATGTTGTTCCATGTTGCTCGATGTTGCTCCAAGTTGCTCCCAGTTGCTCCAAGCCACTCCAATTTGCTCCAAGCCACTCCAAGTTGCTCCAAACCCCCCCTTTGGAAGATTTTTTCCTTTGTCAATTGATCTGTTCCATTATCAGATAATCCAAAGCCATCTTAGATGATCCGTTCCTTTGTCACTTGCTCCATGAACCTCAAGTGATCCATTGAGATCTAAGTGCTCCAAATGCTCCATTAGAATGCTCCAAATGCTCAATGAGAATGCTCTAAATGCTCCATGAGAGTGCTTCAAATGCTCGAGTCACATTTAACAGAATCTTATTGGTCGTTTGCAAAGCTACTTGCTCATTGGTTGTCTTCGCGCGTAGAGCGTCACATCACAACACACCTACACTCATTTGGGGCGGTGTTCACACGTGAGTAGAGGTGACACATCGAATGTCACACGTGCTTTCCTCTACCATACTAGATAGCCTATATTGTTGAGGATGTTGGTAATAATTACTCACGTCCTTTTATCACACTTTTTAAATCAAAGGTAGGTAATGGATTTTCCGACTGGGAATTTGATTCAATACTTTTTTCTAGTGTAGTTGCTTTAGATGAAATTCTCCCTTTTGTGTATTATTATCTTATAAGAAAATGTGGAAAACATTTCGATATTCAATTAACTTGTACAATACATGATTATGTAGCCTTATATATTTAACCATTTAAATTAATAACTCTGTTGTATTTTCCTTTTTCAGATTGGCTTGTAAAATATTTTTTTAATACAAACTAGATTCTAACAGCATTGCCTAAATCATAATTACAGGTTACTGAGTTAAAATGTGGAGGCATAGTGATAGGGTGCATTTTTGACCATAGGATAGTGGATGGGTACTCGGCTGACATGTTTATCTCATCATGGGCAGACATAACTCGTACTGGAACTCCGTCTATGTTTCCCTCACTTGAAAGATCATATCTCAATCCGAGGCGTCCACCCATTTATTCGTCATCTATTGACAATGTGTTTGCACCCTTTTTACCCCCATCCAAGACTGTAAATGACCAAAATGATGATGATGGAGACCATTTACTCGTTAATCGCATATACTACGTTGAAGGTGAGCAAATTAAAAGGCTACAACTGTTGGCAAGTGAAAATGGATGCATGAGGTCAAAGGTAAAGGCATTTACCTCCTTCTTGTGGAAGAAATTTGCATTGAGCGTGGAAGACTCCGGGAAGCACAACGCAGTGTGTAACATGGCTGTTCCAGTCGATGGAAGGAGAAGGCTGAGGAGGGGGGGGTGGAGAAGAGAAAGAAAACTGATGGCTTCTTACTTTGGTAATGTTTTATCAATGCCGTATGGGTCGAAAAAAGCACAGGTAATAAATTTAAACATGTGTCACCACTAGGGATTCTTTTTGTTCTTGATTTCTCAATCGTAAAAATCTATAATTTGCAAATCATGTTCGTTTTGAATTTTTCAACTACAATGATTATTTTACAACTAAGTTATGAATATTATTATATATTTTAATTTTGACTCGGTTTTTTTGACAAGTTAGGAGTTAAGGGGGATGTCTTTGGCTGATGTTGCTTTGGAGGTTCATGAGTTCTTGCAGACTGCAACTAACAAAGAGCATTTCCTGGAGCTGATAGATTGGGTGGCAGAAAAACGGCCACAACCACTGATATCGAAGGCATTTGCCGGTGAAGAGATGTCAGTGATGGTGTCAGCAGGACAAAGGTTTCACACAGGACAGAAGCGATGGAAATTAGAAGCGTGAAACAGGAGCTTCAATTAAGATATGAACCATTTGTTGATCCAATTCAAATTTAGAGAAGATTCCTGATTTCTTGCTGTAGCTATTGATATGTAACCTGATT